TCTGGTGCTAGAGTTATGGTCAAAACCTGTATGTGCACTAGCTACAACTGATAGGCAAGTATCAGCTTGAACCAGCATGTATCACCTCAGTTGTGCCAGTCAGCTAGCTGAAACACCACCTGTCCATACTATGCTAATACCTAAACACTGTGTTTCAAGCCCACTAACCGTGTAGTAAAATAGAACCAGACCATTCATATAATACATGGTTCATGTGTTGTAGGCAGAAAGTAGTCAACGAGTCAATGTTGGACAAGCCAACCAAACCTGCCCAATATATTCAGCAGACCATGAGGGACCAGGAAACACACCCACATTTCCAAAACTAAGGCAGTTTACATCACTAGAAGCCATAAGCGAGGTGGTGAACTCAGTGCGCATTCAAGAAAGTGACCATCATTAAGTGTCTGAAATCCTATGTTTCACTTATATAAGGCCATCCTATGCTGGTAGGAGCCACTTCAATCAATGAAACATCAGGTGATACTCGCACCTAATCTGCGGGCATTTGTTGGGGCTCTTTATCCACATCTTTGAAAGTTGAAGTGACTAGTTTTAATCCAATGTAATACATGTACACATTACACTGTACATTTCCAGTTCTCGAGTTCGACGGTAACGCAGCCGAGTTTTCGAGTTCGACGGCTGCGTTACCGTCGCTTAGGGCGCGAAACGTCTGCGATACGCTCGTGCGCCAATCTGACGGCTAGGCGATGTAACACCATTTCTTAAAATTTTCGTCACTTTCGCGAGTCATATAACTAAAAGATATATGAAAGCTCGTCCTGGCTCGTCGGGCAATGCTAGTTCGCCGAAAATTTTGGCTGTAAAAAGTCGAACCCTCGCCCTGGCTCGTCCTGGAGGGGGGGGGGGGGGGGGGGGGGGGGGGGGGCGGCACCCGCGGGGGCGTTCATATATCCATGGAAGGCACGATTCTGTCGGGAAGGGGCCGCGCCACTATATCATGCAGCTGCAAAAATCGCACCACCAGCTGGCTGGTTCCGCTAGTCGGAACCAACTAACAATGGAGGGTTCTGTCGTGGGGAGGGAGGATAGACAATGACTTGATGCCACCGCAGCTCAGTTTGAAACCGCGAGTTGCTAGATGATGCTAGATGCGAAATAAGATTCTGCGAGTTGGGAAAATGCCGCCGCGGCGAGCTGCGATATGCAAGATGCGAGATGATGCGAGCTGCAAGCTCAGCTCAAATTTCGCGTGATGGCATGCAGGCTGCATGATGATGTGCCTGGCTCGCACCTCGTCGATGCAGCTACTAGATATGCTGCGAAACTCTGCGAGTTGAGAGCTGCGACAGGCGACCTGTTGCGACCTGCGACTTTGTACACTGCAAGTCGCAATCATAATGCAAAACAGAGGGTACAGCACAACCGGCGACTTCTTCTGGCCGCTGGAACAACAGGCGTTGCCATTGCCGTTCTTCCATTTCATTGGTGTTTTCGCCACTCTCAGAAGCGGCACCTCAAGGCATCTGGCCTGGATTACATCGCGAAAAAGGACTTGCCAGAAAGCTGCGGGAAAGTTGCAAAAAGGATACTTTTTGGATACCTTGGTTTTGCAACTTTCCAGTGATGGTCAAATGTTGCAGAAATCGTGCTTGCGGGAAAGTTGCGAAAATGTTGCATTCCTGCAACTTTCCCGCAACACAACCGCAACTTATCGGACAATCTTTGGACACGTTGTGTATACATTTCAGTCACATGTATGCAGTTTCACCACCTGCCACGTGGCATGCGTACAGTTTCGACTTCGAAGTGAACGTACGCCGGTACGTTCGCGAAGATATTTTGCCACGTCAGCTACGATATTTCTGCCACGTGTCATTCGCGATATGTGGACTCAGGCGTGACACTTGGACCAATCAAACAAGCTGTGCGAACGTGGGAAAATTGATTTTAACAGGCCGCCGAATTGTCTGAAATCGGAGCATGCGTTTTAGTTACAGGTGTGTTTAAAAGTATTCAGTTTATACACTATATGTATTCTCTTGCACATTTGCATGCATACTTATCAGCATACACAGAGCACGATCTAGGCGAAAAACCAACACAGCTAATGCAACGACTACAGATCTTCAGGTCTCAATGGCAGATGAATATAGGGCGAAATCACGCTTCGTTTGCGGGCCTGCAAACAGAGATACGACATAGTGTTAGACATGGGTTAGTAGACAGTAATTGTTTCCTACCTCACTGACCTACCGCCCGCGGGCCTTGAATTGAACTGATAACATTACCATGAACAAGATTGACAACTCTGCGAAATCCCTGCGAAAAAAAAAAAAAAAAAATGTATATAAATCTCGTGGCAGCCACTGACTCTGCAACGGTCTTGGTACCACACCGGAGAAGACAGCTAAACGTTAGCGTTAGAGGCTGGATGATATATAACTTGATACGAGCATGGGGAAGAAGCCACGACGATTTAAGAGATTTGCAAGCGGAGGCAAAGCGAGACCGAAGGCCTTCCCGCATGCAGAGAGCGTGCCGACGATTTGTGTATTGGGTGGATATGAAGCGGGAACATCAATGTAACTGATTAAAGTGGCACGGTGCAGCGCAGTTCAATACAAGAGAAAATGTATCTGCATTCATTGTGGGAAGAACGAGAGGAAAACGAGAACTGAAGAAGCCTAACAAGTGCGAATAAATGACAAGTGAGGATCACAACAGGAGTGAGGAGAATCGTTTGTAAAAAAAATCACGCTTTCAGCGCATAACACGGCGCTTCCGCTGCCGGGCAACGCGCTTTACGGCGCACCGTTCGTAGGTAGACGGGTGCTGAGTCTGCGGCGATTCGCGCGCAGAACGTCCTCTGCGTGGGGAGCGCAAGTCGATGAGCTGTATATGGGACGGGAGGTAGAAAAGAAGGGGACAGATGCAGGCTGAGACGGTAGATCTGGACAGATAGTAGCTTGAATACATACTTCCTATACTAGATTATTACACACACAGAAGGAAGAGCATACGGTATACGCTAGTTGATGCGTGAGGGGATATTCAGAGGCACGATATGCAGGCTGGACTGGAAGAATAAGCTGAGAAAGTTGTGTGACCAATGAGCTACGCAACTAGCGTGTTGTGTGAATACGAAAGAGAGATGCTTCTAGAGCTCCAAAGTGTGATGATGTGTCTTCACGGATGCCGTAGATTTCTGGTACTAGCATACATCGCACCAGTAATTGGTTAGTAAAAAATCATGAAGGTGGGGATAGCTCAATTCCGGTTACCTAAGGTGTGATCCGGGAAGCCACGTCACTTGAACAGAATCTGAACACTTACATTGATTGGGTGTGACATGGAACTGTATGCCAGCTGCCAGTTCCGATTCTGGATTCCGGGCCTCGTCTGAGGTTGTATCCCAGTTACTGTGCTCGCCACGTTCGACAATGCCTGCCTGATTCGTGCTGTAGTGTTCATCGATCATACACCAGCAAAGGGGACTCCCGAGATTTGGTCGGACGAAGGTGTACTGTTCGGTGAAGATGTTTCAAGTTTGATGTGTGAAATTCGCGGCTCGGTAAACCCACGTATACAAAATTTGCGCCCCGGCTGACCCACGTAGCTCATGTTCGCGGCTCGGAAGCCAGCTTGTATCCGAAATTGGTGCATGTTGCGGTTTTCACTCAGTGCTTTTCGGATACTTTTCAGGTAGGTTTCTGCAACTTTCCTGCAGCTTTCAGACTTAAACTCGATTTTGAGCCAAACCCTTTTCCGCGATGTACTAGTAGTACTAGCGTTGCCAGCTGTGCCACTCAGCAATGATGGGTTTTTGAACCACTTAAAACCTTGTCAACGCCGGGTTTTTGGCATCATTAGTCACAACAAACAATATTGGCATACACTGTACTACCATTTACCATGCTCTCGGTCGACCAACACTTCGCAGTGGTGCATGTGCGACGTTTCTAGCGCCTGAAGAACCGCCGTGTATCTCTCGACGGGACATCGGTAGACGTATGGAGGCGCAAACTTAAAGAAAGGGAAAAAAACGACCACATGGTACTTAGTATGTTGCCCCAAATTTGAAGCCGCCCATTTCAGCCAGTGGCAGAATTCCGAACGCCCGGAGTTCCCAAGGTGCAAACATCTGGAGAGTGAGCAGTAAACTGTTGACGCACTGAGAGTCCTGACTGAGAGTCTTGGTAGTGAGTGCGCGTTGACGTACGCTCTCAGTCACACTGCCAGAGCCGTCACAGGAGCAGCTTCATATCGTCCCTCCAATCCCAATCAATCTCCATCCTTTCCTTCCCACAAATAATCGTGCAGGTATTTCAAACAGTGAAATTCAGTGCCAGTATTTCAATTTCTCTGCTGCATTTCCTCGTCCACTGCTGCCTCTCTACTAGGAGGTTTCAAACTCTGGAGAAAAACGTGCCTTTCAAGGAAGCTTTCAAGCTACTACTAGTAGTGCTACCCTGCTGCATTTTTTGTGTCACAATCAAAAAGAGAGGCTTCTGATCCCGTGGCTGGGGCCGCTGCGGCGCGTTTTGAGAAATCACCTCAGTGAGGATACGCCGAATTGTACGTACAGCCTGAGCCTCAGGGGCCTCCGGGGCTAGTAACTTAATGGTGGCAGCGCCGCCCCACGCCCAACTTGAACGCATCCTGACTCAGATGTGCTGCATCGCGGTTCTGCCACGGCCTCGGTGATTCAGAGAGATTTTTTTAGAAACGACCGGTGATTCTTTGAGGCGCCTCAGCAGCGGGACCTGAACTGGAGGAGGCCCGGGCTTTGCACCAATCTGAGGGACCACGAGCGCCCCGCGTTCAATTTTAAGGCATCTGTTCGTCAGTGCTTCACCAAAAGTTTTGGTGAAGCGTGGGCTGATATTAGTAGTACCAGGTGATAGTACTACCAGGAGCAGTTAATACTCTGGGGACTGATAAGGGCGCTACTGCACCACCGCTCTGAAACAGGGAACTACAGTTGAGGGTACAGTTGAGAGTACAGTTGAGGGTGCGACTTGAGATCACTATCAATGGCTGTCAGTGCCAGCGGGGAGCACACCTCTGTTTCCAGTCTGCTCGATGATCCAACCCTGACGCCCGCTGACAGTACTGTCAGCAGCCTCGACATGCCGGTGACTCATTTGAAAGGCCCTGATTCTACCACTGCTACGAGCAGCGGCAGCAGCAGCAGAGCCCCGGTCCCTGCTGTTACTCTGGAGAAGAAGCGGCGGTGTGAGACGCCTCAACTGCAAGACAGCACTGAAGCGCCGCAGCAAGATCATCACTGCAGCAGCAAAAGAGCGCTGGTCCCGGCTGTTGCTCTAGAGAAGGAGCGGCGTGAGGCGCCTCAACTGCAAGACAGCACTGAAACGCCGCAGCAAGGTCACCGTTGCGGCAGCACGGGTGGGGGCGGAGGAGGAGGCAGCCTTCCGGCAAGGAAGAAGCAGAGGAAAGCAGCAGAGATCGCGGCGGTGGCAGCGGCGGAAGTGGGTCCTTGTGGCGAGATCAATCAGCAGTGGCGGCAGACGCAGCCGCAGCAGCAGCAGCAGCAGCAGCAGGAGGAAGAGGAGGAGGTTGAAGATGCTGCTGCTGAGGAGGCTGGTGATTGTAACCAAGAGTTAGGAGGAATCAATGGGGATCACAGGAGGTATCGGTGGAAAAAAGGGTCCCACAAGTGGCTGGCTGGGAAGCCGGTCAAGAGGATTTACTACTGGTGTGCATGCAAGGCCGTAACCGGGTGCAAGGCACGTAAAGTGGAGGACAGACTTGCCCTGGATAAGACCGCTGCTGATGGCGTCGGTGGTGGTTCTTCTCCTGTTGCCGCTGTTCCTGCTGCTGTTCCCGCTGCTGCTTCTGCTGCTCCTGGATATGATGTTGTTAGTGGTGGTGGTGATGGTTTGACTGCTATTGGAGGCAGTGAGAAGCAGAGGAAGGTGATCCGAGTGGTGCTGATGGGTCAGCACAACCATGCGCCTTCCACAAGTGAACGATACAGCCGGCACGCCTTGGAACTTAAGCTGGAAAATCTGCAAACAGCAGCAGCAGCAGCAACACCAGCAGCAGCAGTGGCAGCAGCAGAAGCACCAGCAGCGGTAGTGGCAGCAGCAGAAACACCAGCAGCAGCAGCAGTGGCAGCAGCAGAAACACCAGCAGCAGCAGAAGCAGCAGCAGCATCTGCATCCTGTCTGAAGTTTACGCAGCCAACAAAGAAACCCCTCTCTGAGTTCCTTTTGAGTTCACTCCAGCAGCAAGCAGAGGGCCTCTTTACTGTGGAACCCACGTATCAACCCTTCATCAGCCCTTTCCAAGGCCCTGACTTGCCATTTCAGCCGGACCTACTTTCACTGGTTGAGTTGCCTCGGCCGAACCTGGATTCATCTCCGGGCCTGCCTCGACCAAACCTGGATTCTCTATCCAGCCTGGCACAGGAGACCTGGTTGGGGTTAATACCATGGGAATTGATGCAAGCAGCAATCCAAGGTTTGTTGTTGGAAGGGCTTCAGAACAACACTCAAGGATTGGTGAATGGTCCTTGTGTTGGAACGCCACACTTGTTGCCTTCAGCATTAGTAACGCAGCAGCACCAGCAGCAGCAGCAGCGGCAGCAGCAGCAACACCAGCACCAGCACTCACACGGCCAATCTTTCAGCGCTGTTCCATCTCCTTCTGTTTCCCCAACTCCCCTCTCCTCTGTCACTTCCGTTCATGTTAATCACTCTACTGCCCGTCCCTCTTCTATTCCTCCTAGCTCTCGTGTCCTATTTCCTCCTCCTACATCTCAAGAGCCCTTGGCTATGCACACAGCAATGACAAATTTCGCCCAACACCCAAGCCAGGCAACAGCAGCAGCAGCAGCAATGCAGGGAATTTATGACAATTCTCGAAAGTTTCCTGCCCCGCACCGCAACCAGTTAGCAACAGCAGTAGCAATACAGGCCTTGCTACAGCCCTCCGAGGTGCTACAGCCGAGAAGGGCTGCTCCCGATTTTGAGTCGACCCAAGGAGCAACCCAAGCCGTGCGGCCGATGGCTCGCTACAGCCAAGAAAGCCCTCAGGTGCTTCAATAGAGGAGGTCTGCTGTTGCTACTGTTCATGCATTGTTGGGTGCCCAGGGGTATGTTTTTTAAACGCCTCAAACAGATGTCAGGACTGCTGCTGATGCCGATAATGCTGCTGATGCCGATGATGCTGCTGCACCTACTCGTGCTATTGGTCCTGATTTCCCTGCTGCTGCTGGTGGTTCTGCTGCCGCTGTCGAATCTGGTGCTGGCGCCGCTGCTGCTTTTATCCGCGCAGTTGCTATCTCTGGCATAAAATGTCCCACCCCTGCTGCTGCTGACTCGGCATGCCTTTCAGCTGCTGCTGGCCCGGAACGCCCAACAGCTGCTGCTGCTTTTGCACCTGCCATGTCTACCACTGCTCTGAGTTACCCACCTGTTTTTTCTGCAGGTAATCCTGAGGGTGTAATTCTGTCTGATGCCACTCTTGCTGCACTTGTCAGCTGCTCAAATATGGGTCCTGGTGCAGTAACCTCTTTAGGCACTGAGGAGGAACCCACTGGAAGGACTAGCTGGTTGCAGCTAATGAGGCAGGCGTTTCTTGAGACGCCTGGGGATGGAGAGATGGGAGGAGAGAGGGGAGGAGAGAGCGGATGGAGGATAGGTGATGTGAATGGCAACGTGCAGGGGCAGATAGTGGATAATGCGGAGGAAGGAATTGGCAAATGGGAGTTAAGTTCGGAGAGTAATTATCATATGACCTTCCTATGTGATGCATTGTAGCAAGAGTCCGACCTAGCGTAATGGGCGTGTATAAATTTTTGTATAAACCTTTCTCTGGAAGCATGTGAAAACGTATTTTGTGTTGGAGGAAAAGACGGCTCAGTCGTGGTGACAAATCTATGTTATGGTATGTGAAGTGCATTGAGAGCTGCATATAACTATTAATTGAACTATAATTGTGCTGCGTTAATGCAATTACCATACCACGGGCTACGGCCTTATCGTCCATTAAATGTTCATCAACTACCTGCTGTTTTCTCTTCAGTGAACTAGCGAATCCTTTCACGTTGACAAATTGGTATGACATTTATAGTGATAATAATTTTCTTAGTGGAACTTCCTACAGTGTTGAGCCCTTCACTAACGAATGTCAACTCACGTCGCAACTCACGGAGCAGTGATGGTGACCAGTGCGGCAGATTTGTCGTTCGTGGGCGTTGAATTCTCGAAGCGCATTTCCGATGTGCGCGCTGCGGAGATATGTCCAAATGTCCGTTCCATTCTGGTCCCATCGATTTCACCAAACAAAACCGAACCAAACCTTTCCCACCCCCGCTCCCGCCCCCGCCCCCTTTTTCACTGCTGGTTGGCTTATACACCGAGCCCAAACTAACTCCGCCTCACCCAGCCCATCCCCAAAACCAAACCAACGATGGTTGAAACCCATCCTCCTGCTCTTACTCAACCCATTTGTCAACGACCTCACATCACATGTGCGCGAGGTAGCATGGCGGGATTTTACGGCGACATCAAGACATTTCCCCCCACGACAGAACTATCCACTAAAGTAGGTTTCAACTAGCGTAACCAATCAGCAATGCTTCGAGGGCAGTGCAATCGGTGGTGCGTTTTTTGGGTTGCAAGATGCGTTTTTTGGGTTGCAATGTTAGAGGGCCCTACGACAGCAAGGGCCCTCGATGACCTTTGACTTGGCAGGTCGGCGCCTAACGACTGAGTCTACTCGGCACCGATGCACGAGTTCGGTGGCGGTCATTAGTGACTACGGGTGACTGTGAGCTACTGCAGCGAACTCGGCGGAATCGGTGCTAGGAATGACGAGTCTTGGGGGTCGTAGGTGCCTTGCTTGTGAGGCACGCTGCTCACTTGCTGTGTTGGCAGGAGTAGCGTGCACGGTGAGACATTCCGGTGCCGAGTTGGGTTGGAAATGTGCGGGGCGTGTTCACCCACCTGCACAGCACTTTCGTGTGGGTTGGGTTACTCGCAGCGCCACGCAACAATTGTGCAACTCTTGCTTGCCTATATATGTTTGTGTTTGCTTGTGTGTTTCATAGTTGATATTGCAATTCTACTTGGCCCAAATGCTACTTCAATTCTCACAAAGTCCTTAGAGGCAAACGCTACCAAAACTCTACCAAGTTGCTGGCGCAACATCATTCCCATAGCAGAGACTCTCTCGCTATCGCTACGCTCTCTAATATATTCCTTCAACAAGATGCAGACCCCGTTCCGACAGAAACCATGGCGTCTACCCAGCGAACTGCAGTTCTTTTGAAGCATGCTTCGAATTCACTAGAACTGCCAGCCTTGGCATGAAGCGCGTGAATTAACTCCCTTACCATGGGCGGCGGCGAGCAATTGTCAACGCCACCAGAAGCAGCGACGAATGCGGTTCTATTTGGCCACACTCGATGGAGCTCAGGGTTAAGAATTTTCGAGCTGCCAGCTGTAGGATGAACATCTCACATGATGCGAGATGTGAGCTGGGAGATGCGAGCTGCAAGCTGCAAGCTCAGCTCAAAATTCTGCATGAAGAAGGCTGGATGCGCGGCGTCTCGCATCGCCTGGCATCACGGAGCTTCCGGTTGTACAGTTGCTGCGGATGCGAACTTTCGAGCTGCGACCTGCGACCTGTTGCGACCTGTGCACTGCAAAAGTCGTAAGCATGTAAATTTACCATTCAGCCCAAGCACAAACCCACAAACTCCGAGTTTAGGGTCTGCCGCTTGCTGAAATAACAGACGCTGTCATTCGCATTGTCCCATGGGTGCTCCTTCGACGACGACGTCTCTCCACAAACTTGAGGGTCGAGACATTTCAACCGTCCAATCTCAACATTCAAGGGTTGTCGAGAGATGTCGACGTCTACTTTAGCCTGAGGCACGATCTGTATTTTTTTTTCAAAGCGGCAAGTTTTTGTTTTTAGATATTTTTTCCTCTTTATTTTCTCTCTCGAGTTTTGAGGCTCCTCAGAAATAGGCGCCTAGTGAAAAAATCGTCAAGTTCGGCACCCCACAGTGTCTACTGTCGTCAAATGTTCCACAGAGGAGTGTTTTTTTCTGTTTCTTCTTATTTCTTTCTTTGTCAACGCTGGGTGTCTGGCTCGCCGCTACAAACAAAATTGGCGTGCCGTTTACTATTCTCTACTACTAGTCTAGCAACAGGGCGCAAGTGCGACGTCACGTGGAACACTGGTGACTCTGGAGGAGCAAACAATAAGGAATGTATGTGGTGATTCTGATGATCATGGTCAATTTGCATCGCGTCGCGTGCCTCAACTTGCCGCCCTCTGAGAGAGAACACCGGAATTCGGCGCAAATTTCGGTGCATGTAGAGTGGATTTTTGACGCACGTCGTCAGTGCCACTGCCAGTCACTCACTAGCAGCTTCCACCCAGTGAGTCACCCCCCCGATCCCTGTCATTCCCCAGGCGATCCACTACTAGTAAGAGTCTTACTAGAAAAGTGCTTGCCAGGGGTTTCAAATCTACCGTTGAGTGCCGCATTTTAGTCCTAAAACATTGACAGAAACTAGCTCTACTGTTTCTTCCATTACTACGCTGCTGCAGTTGCCTGTGCACTGCCAGTGGATCAGCTTTCAAACGCGATGCGACGTTTCAGGTAGTGCAAAAAAAGGTGTTTCTTCCGATCTGGGGGCTTCCACTATTTTCAACTACTATTACTCGTTGGTGATTTCGGGACACTGGCAGAAAGCTGGGCTTCTGATCCCTTGGGTGCGCGAGACATTGTGCAGCAATTTGTGCATTGGAACCTGCAGGTTCACGGCGGCAGCGTGTTTCAGATGACCATCGCAACAATTCTGACAATGACGGAAAGTGCCAATGGAAAACACACCTCTAGTTCCAGTCTGCTTAACGACCCACTGATGCCCAACGGTGGTACTTTCAGCAGCCTCCACGTGGCAGGGACCCATTGGAGAAGCACAGGAACAGCTACGACTGCTTGTAGCGGCAGCAGCAGAACCCTGGACCCTGCTGTTCCTGCGGAGAAGAAACGCAGCAGCGGCGGGGCCGGCGGAAGTGGGCTTCATGCAAGGAAGAAGCGGAGGACTTTTGAGGCGCCTCAGAAGAAACGCAGCAGCGGCGGGGCCGGCGGAAGTGGGCTTCATGCAAGGAAGAAGCGGAGGAGAGAAGCGATGGCGGCGGCAGCGCAAGTGGATCCTAGAGAAGAGGACGAGAAGCGATGGCAGCGGCAGCGACGGTGGCAGCAGGAGGAGGAGGAGCAGCAGCAGCAGCAGCAGAAGGAAGGGAAGTTTCAAGTTGAAGCAAAGCAGTACTCAGAATCAGGTTCCAGCTTGGAAGGTGCAGACAAGGAAGGCAGCGACATGGGAGGTGCTGCCGCCGCCGCCGCCGCCGTTGCCACCGCTGGTGACGCTACAGCTTTCGCTGCTAGTGGCAATCCTACTCTGCAGTGCCTCCAGCCTCGTCTGCACCAGCTGCCGCACCCCAGCTTCTTGAACGTGCATGGTGGGGGTGGTGGTGGTGGTGGTGGTGGTGGTGGTGGTGGTGGTGGTGGTGGTGGTGGTGGTGGTGGTGGTGGTGGTGGTGGTGGTGGTGGTGGTGGTGGTGGTGGTGGTGGTGGTGGTGGTGGTGGTGGTGGTGGTGGTGGTGGTGGTGGTGGTGGTGGTGGTGGTGGTGGTGGTGGTGGTGGTGGTGGTGGTGGTGGTGGTGGTGGTGGTGGTGGTGGTGGTGGTGGTGGTGGTGGTGGTGGTGGTGGTGGTGGTGGTGGTGCTTCTGCTGGCGACAGTGCTGCGGTTGCTGCTGCTGCTGCTGCTGCAGACGAAGATGATACTCATCAAGCGCGACGAGACAAGAACGAGGATCACAGGAGGTATCGGTGGAAAAAAGGGTCCCACAAGTGGCTGGCTGGGAAGCCAGTGAAGAGGGTGTATTACTGGTGTGCGTGTAAATCGGTAACCGGGTGCCAAGCACGTAAAGTGGAGGACAGACTTGCACTGGATAAAACCGCTGCTGCTGCTGCTGGCGGCACTGCTGGAGGCGACACTTCTGGAGGCGACACTTCTGGAGGCGACACTTCTGATGGTAGTGGTGGCGATGGGAATGGTGGCGGTTCTGCTGCGTTGGAAGGTGGTGGTAATGGGTTGACTGCGATTGAAAACAGTGAGAAGCAGAGGAAGGTGATCCGCGTGGTGCTGATGGGTCATCACAACCATTCGCCCTTCTCAACAGAACGACACCATCAGCACACCTTTCCGGCTGAAATGGACAGTCAGCTATCAGAGACACCTCCTGAGCTGCCATTTCTTAGGCTGACTGCTCACATGCAAGCATCTCCTGAGGAGCTTTGGAGAAGCCTCAAGAGCGATCCGAACCACCCACCACTTCCCATCCCACTGCCTGTAGCAGCAGCAACAGCAACTCCAGGAGCAACGGCAGCAGCACCGGCAGCATACGCAGCAGCAGCAGCAGCAGCAGCAGCAGCAGCGGCAGAAACACCTGGAGCAACAGCAGCAGCAGCAGCAGCAGCAGCCGTTTTCTGTCAGAGATCCACCCAGCCAACAAAAGAACCCCTTTCAGGAGGTCATTCCAGGCCGACCCAGCAGCAAGCAGAAGCTCACTTGACTGCAGAGCCCACGTGTAAACCTCGCACACTTCTCCTGCAGACCCAGGCTTCCCCCATCAGCCCTTGCCAAGGCCCCGACCTGTCAGCTCAGCCGAAACCGCCTCAGCAGCGAGCAGAAGCTCACTTGACTGCAGAGCCCACGTGTAAACCTCGCACACTTCTCCTGCAGACCCAGGCTTCCCCCATCAGCCCTTGCCAAGGCCCCGACCTGTCAGCTCAGCCGAAACCGCCTCAGCAGCGAGCAGAAGCTCACTTGACTGCAGAGCCCACGTGTGAACCACACAAAGTTCTCCCGCCTGCCCACAATACCTTCGTCAGCCCTTGCCAAAAAACCCTCCCTCAGATTCATTACAGGCCGCCTCAGCAGCGAGCAGAAGCTCACTTGACTGCAGAGCCCACGTGTGAACCACGCACAGTTTTCCTGCCTGCCCACAATACCTTCGCCAGCCCTTTCCAAGGATCTGACCAGTCATTTCAGCCGAAGCTACCGTCACGTTTCGAGTTGCCTCGGCCGAACCTGGATTCTCTGTCAAGTCTGGCACAGGAGGTCTGGATGGGGTTGATGCCAAGAGAATGGCTGCAAGCAGCAATCCAAGGTTTGCTTTTGGAAGGGCTTCTTCAGATCCACACTCAAGGCAAGGCTACCCAAGAGATGCCTCAAGGCTTGGTGGATTCTGCTTGGCTTGGAACACAACACCTGTCTCCATTGGCAACGCAGCAGCAGCAGCAGCAGCAGCAGCAGCAGCAGCATTCACACGGCCGGAATTTCAGCGGTGTGCCATCTCCTTCTCTCTCCCCAACGCCCCTCTCTTCTGTGACTTCCGCTCCTGTTCGGCCCCCTACTGCCCCACAGCCCTTCGAGATGCTACAGCCTTCCGAGCTGCTACAACTGAGAAGGGCTGCGGCTGCTTAAGAGTCGAACCAAGGGGCAACCCAAGCCTTGCTACATCCCTCCCAAATGCTACAGTCCTCTGAGATGCTACAGCTGAGAAGGGCTGCGGCTGCTTATGAGTCGAACCAAGGGGCAACCCAGGTTGTGCGACCGATGCCTAAGGCGCTTCAACAGAGGGCACTGGTGCCTGAGGGGCTTCGAGAGAGGAAACTGGGGCATGAGGTGATTCAACAATGGGGACTGGGGCCCGAGGTGATTCAACAATGGGGACTGGGGCCCGAGGTGATTCAACAATGGGGACTGGGGCCCGAGGTGATTCAACAATGGGGACTGGGGCCCGAGGTGATTCAACAATGGGGACTGGGGCCCGAGGTGATTCAACAATGGGGACTGGGGCCCGAGGTGATTCAACAATGGGGACTGGGGCCCGAGGTGATTCAACAATGGGGACTGGGGCCCGAGGTGATTCAACAATGGGGACTGGGGCCCGAGGTGATTCAACAATGGGGACTGGGGCCCGAGGTGATTCAACAATGGGGACTGGGGCCCGAGGTGATTCAACAATGGGGACTGGGGCCCGAGGTGATTCAACAATGGGGACTGGGGCCCGAGGTGATTCAACAAGGGGGACTGGGGCCCGAGGTGATTCAACAAGGGGGACTGGGGCCCGAGGTGATTCAACAAGGGGGACTGGGGCCCGAGGTGATTCAACAAGGGGGACTGGGGCCCGAGGTGATTCAACAATGGGGACTGGGGCCCGAGGTGATTCAACAATGGGGACTGGGGCCCGAGGTGATTCAACAAGGGGGACTGGGGCCCGAGGTGATTCAACAAGGGGGACTGGGGCCCGAGGTGATTCAACAAGGGGGACTGGGGCCCGAGGTGATTCAACAAGGGGGACTGGGGCCCGAGGTGATTCAACAATGGGGACTGGGGCCCGAGGTGATTCAACAATGGGGACTGGGGCCCGAGGTGATTCAACAATGGGGACTGGGGCCCGAGGTGATTCAACAATGGGGACTGGGGCCCGAGGTGATTCAACAATGGGGACTGGGGCCCGAAGTGATTCAACAATGGGGACTGGGGCCCGAGGTGATTCAACAATGGGGACTGGGGCCCGAGGTGATTCAACAATGGGGACTGGGGCCCGAGGTGATTCAACAATGGGGACTGGGGCCCGAGGTGATTCAACAGAGGGCACTGGTGCGTGAGGGGCTTCAAGAGAGAAGGGCTGCTATTGCTACAGTCCATGCGTTGTTGGGTGCCCAGGGATATGTCTTTGAAACGCCTCAAACACATAGCAGGACTGCTGCTGATGCCGATGATGCTGCTGCTGCCGATGCTGCTGCTGCTGCTGCTGCTGCATCTCTCCCCTCTCTCCACTCTTCTCCCGTTCCTTCCTCGATCACCTCTCTCAATTCTTCCCCCTCTCTCCCCTCTTCCCAGTCTACCCCCACTTTCCCCTCTCTCCCCTCTCTCCCTTCTCTCTCTCTGTTCCACTCTCTCCCCTCTCTTCCCCCTGCCCCATCCTCACATTGCGCATCCACAATGAATCTCGGTGCCTGTTTCGGGAATCCTCAGAGCACATCGGCAGGTGGGGCAGCAGATCCCGAGGGTGTTACCCTGTCAGATGCTGAGGGTGTTACCCTGTCAGATGCTGAGGGTGTTACCCTGTCAGATGCTGAGGGTGTTACCCTGTCAGATGCTGAGGGTGTTACCCTGTCAGATGCTGAGGGTGTTACCCTGTCAGATGCTGAGGGTGTTACCCTGTCAGATGCTGAGGGTGTTACCCTGTCAGATGCTGAGGGTGTTACCCTGTCAGATGCTGAGGGTGTTACCCTGTCAAATCCCGAGGGTGTTACCCTGTCAGATCCCGAGGGTGTTACCCTGTCAGATCCCGAGGGTGTTACCCTGTCAGATCCCGAGGGTGTTACCCTGTCAGATGCTGAGGGTGTTACCCTGTCAGATCCCGAGGGTGTTACCCTGTCAGATCCCGAGGGTGTTACCCTGTCAGATCCCGAGGGTGTTACCCTGTCAGATGCTGAGGGTGTTACCCTGTCAGATCCCGAGGGTGTTACCCTGTCAGATCTCGAGGGTGTTACCCTGTCAGATCCCGAGGGTGTTACCCTGTCAGATCTCGAGGGTGTTACCCTGTCAGATGCTGAGGGTGTTACCCTGTCAGATCCCGAGGGTGTTACCCTGACAGATACTGAGGGTGTTACCCTGTCAGATCCCGAGGGTGTTACCCTGTCAGATGCTGAGGGTGTTACCCTGTCAGATCCCGAGGGTGTTACCCTGTCAGATCCCGAGGGTGTTACCCTGTCAGATCCCGAGGGTGTTACCCTGTCAGATGCTGAGGGTGTTACCCTGTCAGATCCCGAGGGTGTTACCCTGTCAGATCCCGAGGGTGTTACCCTGTCGGATGCTGAGGGTATCACCCTGTCTGATGCCACACTTGCTGCTCTTATCAGCCAATCACAGGTGGGTGCTGCTGTAGCAGCCCCTAGAGGCACTGAGGAGGAACCTATTGAAAGTACTGGTACTTGGCTGCAGCTAATGAGGCAGGCGATTCTTGAGACGCCTGGGGATGGAGAGATGGGAGGAGGGAGGGGAGGAGAGATGGTATGGAGGAGAGGCGATTTGAACGGCAACATCCAGGGAAGGGAGTGTAATAATCTGATAGACAATGCGGAGGAAGGGATCGAAGAAGGGGAGTTAGGTTCGGACAGTGATTTAGCATTCCTCCTGGAGGCATTGCAGCAAGAGTTAGACCCTGCGTAATGGGCGTGTAAGGATTTGTTTGTAGTACACCTTTCTTTGGAAGCATGTTAACATATTTCTGTGCTGAAGCGATAGGAGATTAGGAGTCGAGACAACTCACTCGTGGTGACACTCTATTTAGGCTACATAGCGGTAACTGGACTGCAGAACAAAGCCAATGACTGTGAGGCACATCAGCACAAGTTCCGCACCTAGTTAGAAAATCAAATCCACCAGTCACCAACTGGAACTGGAAGCAAGTGCTTCGATCGCAACACACTACAACTAGGGTTCGTGCTAGGATTCGAACCTCTAAGGGCGCGTGTCTTTTGGAGTGTATTTGTAGTTCATGTTTTTTGTTCAGCTTTATCCATTTGAGCTTCGGCTGACCTGTGGTCGACTTTCTCGACTATTTGTGGTCAAGTCGCAGCGTTACCTTTCACATCAAACAGATGGAACAACAAAGTTCGACTAACGAAGTTCGACTATGTACAGTAGATTCCGAGTCGTGCCCAAATTTCGTAGGTTACCTAGTCTAGACGACAAAGTTTGTGACGAATCCGGCCACAGTAACCTGGTACGCTGTTTTTCGTGACCGTCGTGCGTTTCGCAAATTCACTGTGCACGAGCAGAAGAACACACGTTTGGATAAACGTGCACGTGAAAATTCGACCCTAGTTCAGTGTCCTTCAGTTTCATCAAACAATGAACTGGGACACACGATTTTCGCAATCTGTTGTTACGAAACTAGCGAAACAGGTTACCAGTCAAAAGTTGAACACTTTTTCGAGCTCTACACCAAAAGACACGCGCCCTAAGAAAACCTCCCACCTGTGAGTGCGGCTCAAGGCGAATCTCCTACATAAGGTGGTTCCGCTTTCGGAGACTGCAGCTGTGGTGTTAGGCGGAGATTGGGTGAACAGAAGAAAACTTCGATACAAACATTCAGAAGTCTGCAAACTCATATGGAAAACGTTACAAGTCTAACATTCACAAATTCCAAACGAAAACCAGACAAGTCAAACTAAAGACATCTGATTCTGATATCTGAGACTAAGCAACACAATTCAAAGCATGGTAGAGGTATCGCGCCGGCTCCAGCAATCGGCACTTGGTGCACAAATTGCAGTACAGAATACTGGTGGTAAATGGACCAGTCCAGTACTCGAAATCCAGCGTTACTGTATAAACCCAGCTGCACCCTGAGTAAGGAGAGGAGGAAGAAGAGCACTTTTGAAGATTCCGTGCAATAGGCTTGGTGCTGCTCGTATTCTGGTTGTGCCAGGACCATGCCATTCCGGAGTCATGAGTCATGACCATCATGGCACACTCCAGAGTCCATCATACAGTATCCGTACCTCCACCATTGAGGCGGTTGAATAAGCATTTGACACTTCTGTCCCCTCCCCCATTTCTACAGGGGTTTGAACTTGACTCAAAAATCACCTCGGGAGTCGGGACCATGCCCTTCCAGAGTCATGAGACATGACTATCATGGCCCTGTGTATTCTTGAAGGTGCTTAAATACACGTCTTCCTTACACCCGACACTGTAGTCTGTTCACTAAGGCCTTGACACTCTCCCCCTCCACACTCCATGGCACTCCAACCCAACTCACGTGCCTCCAGCAGCAGTGGGCCCAGGAAAGCAGGCGGATCTGAGCACAGAGAGAAGATCAGATCCCAGGGCCACTATGGGTTTCGAAATCGCCCCATCCATGCCCGCCTGATAAAAGAGATGTTTTGAGACGTCTCGAAAGCAGGCACATCTGAGCACAGAGAGAAGATCAGATCCCAGGGCCACTATGGGTTTCGAAATCGCCCCATCCATGCCTGCCTGATAAAAGAGATGTTTTGAGACGTCTCGAAAGCAGGCACATCTGAGCACAGAGAGAAGATCAGATCCCAGGGCCACTATGGGTTTCAAAATCGCCCCATCCATGCCTGCCTGATAAAAGAGATGTTTTGAGACGTCTCGAAAGCAGGCACATCTGAGCACAGAGAGAAGATCAGATCCCAGGGCCACTATGGGTTTCAAAATCGCCCCATCCATGCCCGCCTGCTTACACGCCTTGCGTATCCTCGCATCCAGGTCCGATGTCGCGCAAGAGAAGAATCCAAGCTTAGGTGCCACCAGCAAAACCGGCAGATCTGAGCACGGTGAGCAAGTCCTGGGCCACTATAGGCTTGGAGATAGCTCCGTCCATGCCGGCTTGCTCACACGCCTTGCGGATTCTCGCATCCAAGTCGGCTGTCAGCGCCACCACACACAGCCGCGGCGGGGCGGTAGCTGTAGCAGCAGCACCAGCAGCACCAGCAGCGGCGGCAGCGCCAGCAGCAGCTGAAGGGAGGGAAGTTTTCACCAGAGCTTCTCGCGCCCTGATGTGGCGGCACGTCTCGAGGCTGTGGTTGGAGAGAGGGAGGGACAGACGGAGGGAGGGAGTGGAAAGAGGGAATGGGATGCAGGAAGCTGAGAGGCACTGGAGGGGACAAGAGGAGAGGATTCGCCAGGGCTTCCCGTGTTCTGATGTGACGGCACGTGTCGAAGCTGTGGTTGGGAAAAACAGGAGGGAGGGAGAACCGGAAGCGCTGAGGGAGGGAGAAAAACAGGAGGGAGGGAGAACCGGAAAAGGACATACGCTGTGGTTACTGTTTCCATGTCCTTGCTTGCACAAACTTATCACAAACCCCTTCAGCAGAAGCAGAAGAAGCAGCAGAAGGACCAGGAGAACCATGCCACTCATCCCCGGAGGCATGTTGATGTCGACCAGTGCGAGCACAAAGCTGTGCGGGTGCAGCAGGCGCTGCAGTGCAAGTTCCCCACTCGCAGCCACCTCCACGCGCGCCCCCAGCCCCACCAGAAGCAGCAGGAGAGGCAGAGGCAGCAGAAGCACCAGACGCACCAGGAGAACCACTCTACCCACCCATCAATCCCCGGAGGCATGTTGATGTCGACCAGTGCGAGCACAAAGCTGTGCGGGTGCAGCAGGCGCTGCAGCGCAAGTTCCCCACTCGCAGCCACCTCCACGCGCGCCCCCAGCCCCACCAGAAGCAGCAGGAGAGGCAGAGGCAGCAGAAGCACCAGACGCACCAGGAGAACCACTCTACCCACCCATCAATCCCCGGAGGCATGTTGATGTCGACCAGTGCGAGCACAAAGCTGTGCGGGTGCAGCAGGCGCTGCAGGGCCAGCTCCCCAGAAGCAGCCCCCTCCACGCGCGCCCCCAGCCCTACGAGGCGACACCAGGCCACACCAAAAGCACAGCGGAGGTACCTAACGACTCACCCGTCAATCCCTGGAGGCATATTAATGTCAACGAGTGCCAGCACGAAGGCGTGCGGGTGCAGCAGGCGCTGCAGCGCCAGCTCCCCACTCGCAGCCACCTCCACTCGTGCCCCAAGCCCCACGAGGCTCTTCCTGGCCACCACACGGTTCACGGCGTTGTCATCCACCACCAGCACCTCCCTGCCACCCAGCATCTCTCGCAGGACGGATGAAGCGTCTTCCAGGGCGAGGCGGGAGAATAGTTGCTGCGGGAGGTCCTCTTCTTGCTCCTGGGCTGGGGCGCTGTGAGCTGCAGAGACGGATCCGGCTGGAGGTGGGGCGAACATCTGACGGGAAAAAGAGGAGGGAGGAAGTGGGGAAGGGGGAAGGGAGGAGACGGATAAGGGGAAGGCTCTCTTCCTGGCGCATTGAGGTCGTTTTTGAGGCGCCTCTTCCTGGCCACCACGTGTCTCAAAATACAACTTTTATCACGCGGATAAGGGGAAAGCTCTCTTCCTGGCCACCACGTGGTTCACCGCGTTGTCATCCACCACCAGACCAGCACCTCCCTGCCGCCCAGCATGGATCTTAATACAGCCGATGCGTCCTCGAGAGCGAGGCGGGAGAAGAGTTGCTGAGGGAGGTCTTCTTGCTCTGCGCTCTCTGCTGCGGTGATGGGTGCTGATTGGGCTGGAGGGAGGTGGGGCGAAAATCTGACGGGTCAAAGGGGAAGGAGGAAAGGGGGAAGGGGGAAGGGGGAAGGAAGGAGAGGGGCGAGGAGAGGAGGGAGGCTCTCTTCCTGGCCACCACGCGGTTCACCGCGTTGTCATCCACCACCAGCACCTCCCTGCCGCCCAGCATCTGAAGGAAATGGGAAATCTGACGGAGAATATGACCAGCATCACCCCTACCTGATGCACCTAACATGCTTACCTCTTGCAGCAGGCGAGCGGCATCGCTGCTGGCCATCCAGGGGCGAGCGAGCACATCACTGAACCCGGCTGCTCTCGCTTGCACTCCCTCACACACGCTCCTCCCTCTGTGCTGCCATGCCATGCCATGTCACACACACCCACCTAACTCCTTACCTCCTGCAGCAGCCGAGCGGCATCGCTGGCCATCCAGGGGCGGGCGAGAACATCACTGAACCCAGCTGCTCTCGCTTGCACGCCCTCACACGCGCTCCTCCCCGTCAGCACCAGCGGCGGGTGTGACACACTCGCAAGCAGCTGCGGCAGCGGCCAGGGCGTGGGGAGCGAGTTTGATGTGGGGAGTGGGTGGGGCGTGGGAAGCGGGTTTGATGTGGAGAGTGGGTGCGGCGACCGGAGCGGCAGCGGCGTGGAAAGCAGCGCGGGCGGCGGAGATACAGATGGGTTGGACGAGCTTGAAGGGAAGGAGGAGGGGTGCGGAGTGGTGGGGGACGGTGGCGGCGTTTCTCGCCCGCCGGGGTGCTGTTGGTGCTGCCAATGCGAAATCACCCGCTTGCCGAACCCAAACCCTGTTGCGGGGCCGAACGCGTCTGCTTCAATAAACACCACGTCCCAACTCCTCTGCTCTCCTTCCTCCCCCTCCTCTCCCTCCTCTCCATCCTCTCCCTCTCCTCCCTCCTCTCCATTCCTCTCCTCCTCTCCTTCCTCTCCCTTCCTTTCCTCCTCCGCAGCTGTCTCACTACTCCACTCCTTACCTTCGTCTATGGTGAAACCGGCCAGTCTTTCAGTCGCTGGGAAGGGCTTTATGGGACTCGTGGGAACGGCAAGAGTTACTCGGTTGCTGCTGCGTTTTGAAATGGTAGCAGTATGGCTGCTGCTGTTACTGTTAATATTCTTACTGTTACCATTTCTGCTAAGCCTACCGGTACCATTACCGATACTACTGCTCTGCCCTTCTTCTTGCCAACCCACATCCCCCTCCTCTTCTTCCTCCTCCTCTTCCTTCTCCTTCTCCTCCTCGTCCTCCTCCTCCATCTCTCCCTCCTCATCCTCCTCCTCTTCGCCATCCCCCACCCTCCCTCGCCTCCTCTCCGACCCATCCCTCCAACTGCTCCTGCCACTGCTACAGCTACTGCTTCCCATTAACAGGAACCCCGCCTGGCCAGCTGTAGCAGCTACAGCCACGGAGATCCCAAGGTACCTCAAACACTCGCTCACAGCCTCTCGCCTCAGCTTCATCCCATCCACCACCAACGCGCGCTTGCCTCGGACCGAACCTAAAACGCTCCGCCGAGCCTCCAGCCAAGGCCCGGCGTCTCCAGCCGTGGCTTCATCCACAGGGGAGGTGTCATCTCCTGCCAGGTGGCGCGCTCGCAATGGCAGGCTGACTAGGATGGTGGTCCCCACACCCTCTTCTGAAGCCACTCCCATGGATCCCCGCATAAGACGAACCAGGCCAGTGGACAGGAGGAACCGAACAGGATACGGGCTCCATTCCTCCTGCCCCTGCAACACCTCTCCACCGCTCTGCATCCCCTTCGTCACGCCCTGCACTGCCTCGTCACCGCTCTGCATCCCCTTTTTCCCGCTGCTGCCGCTGGCCGCACCAGTAACCCCACCGCCGCCGCCGCCGCCGCCGCCGCTGCTGCTGCTGCCGCTGCTGTTTCTTCTGCCGTCGCCGTCGCCGCTGCTGTTGCTGCCTCTGCCGCCGCCGCCGCCGCTGCTGCTGCTGCTGTTGCTGTTGCTGTTGCTGCCAGTGGTGGTCTGGCCGGCAGGGTCCAGAACCCAGAGCAGCTCCTGGGAGGGAATACCACACCCCGTATCCTCACACACCATCACCACCACCACTTCCTCTTCTCTCCCCACCACTCTTTGCCCTGCTGCCCTTGCTTCCCCCGCCATCGCCCGTGTTGCCCCCCCTTGTGCTCTCTCAGTCGCTCTCCCAGTCGCTCCCTCAGTCGCTCCTCCCGTCTCCTCCCCTGGTGCCAATGAAGCCCCCGCTCCTCTCCGTGTGGCCCCCGTTGACTGGCTTGACTTGGCTGACTCAGGCGACCTGTCAGGGGGGTTCGTCCGAGGCTCAAAACCTAACTCCTCCTCATCCTCCTCTGCTTCTTCATCCTCTTCATACTCATACTCCTCCTCCTCTTCTCCCTCTCTCTCGCCCCCATCTCTCTCCTCCCCTGCACTGGCGGAATCCAACTCCTCTACTCTTGCTCCAACCCCTTTCTCCACCCCCCCTCGCTCACTCCACACTTCATCCCCCGTCTCATCCCCCATAAAAGCCTCCTCGATATCGCCTCCGACCCTCCTCCCCACCCCCTCCCCCCTTTCCTCCTCCACGCCACCCCCATTACCCATCCCACTCCCACGAATACTCAAGAAACGCCCATCACCCCCACCACCACTCCTGCCAGAAAACCCAAACCAGCGTTGGAAAACACTCCAAGGAGCTGAGACGATGGGCTTCAGAACGGTGAGCACATCCCTTCCTTCCCAGTGCTGCCCTGTGCCATTCCTCCCATCTCCCTTCCCCCTCTCTCCCCCCCTCCCTCTATCCCTCCCTCGTACCAGCCTTCTTCCACCTCCTTCACACTCTCCCCCACCTTCCCCCCCACTTACCCCCCTACCTCCCCCCCTACCTCCACCCCCACCCCTACCCTTATTACCCCACACTCTGCCCGTCACTCTGCCCCACACGCGCCTGCTCTCCCTCCCCCACCTCGTTCTACCAGAGGGAACCGTAGCAAACACCACGTTCTCCTGGAACCGACTTACAAACCTCTCCAACTGCTGGCACACCTGCTGAGCCTCAGGCGACAGAGAAACCACCTCTTTCCCCCTGCTGCCGCTGCTGCTGCCACTGACACAACCGCCGCCGGCGCCGCTGCTGCCGCCGCCGCCGCTGCTGCTGCTGCTGCTGCTGTTCTCTATTCGCTGGTTCTGCAGCCGCGTTTTCAATCTCTGGGACACTATCCTTTTGAAGTGTGTGTTGCCGCGGCTGAGAGGGCATGAGGAGGGGTAGGAGGAGGGAGAGGAGGAGGAGGAGGGAGAGGCGGGTCGTTGTGCTTTCTGCTGTGCTGACGCCAGCCAGGTTGCCAGCCACGCCTGTAGTGCTGTCACCTGCTTTTGCCCTTCTTGCTGCTGCTTTCTCCCTACTACTTCCCCCTGCTGCTGCTTTCTCCCTACTACTTCCCCCTGCTGCTGCTTTCTCCCTACTACTTCCCCCTGCTGCTGCTTTCTCCCTACTACTTCCCCCTGCTGCTGCTTTCTCCCTACTACTTCCCCCTGCTGCTGCTTTCTCCCTTCCTGCTGCCGCTGCTGCTGCGGCGGCGGCTGCTGCTGCTGCTCCTGTTGTTGTTGTCGACTTTGCTGCCGACTTTCTTCCTCCTGTCCCTTCTGCTGCTGTTGCTGCTGCAGAGGGCGGCTCATGCTGTAGGCTCCATGCTCGGTGACTGTTCCAGGTGAGGTTGCTACAGCCACCTCAGCTACTGCCGCACCTGCTACAGCCGGCTCCGCTACAGGCTCAAAACCAGAGACCGCAGCAGCAGCAGAAGCAGAGTGGGTGGCAGTAGCGGCAGCGGTGGAAGCGGGAGCAGCAGGTTTGGGAGTGGCGGTGCAGGGATGGGCGGGAAGACACCAGATATGGAAGGCTGCATGGCCAGATAGCGTGCTCTTGATGGCGTGACCTGGGGGGGTACAGAGCATGGGGCATGGGAAAGGGAGAAGGAAGTGTGATGATATGGGAAAAGGAGAGGGGGTGCAGGGATGGGCGGGCAGGCACCAGATGTGGTAGGCTGCTTGGCCAGATAGTGTGCTCTTGATGGCGTGACCTGGGGGGGTACGGAGCATGGGGCATGGGGAAGGGAGAAGGAAGTGTGATGATATGGGAAAAGGAGAGGGGGTGCAGGGATGGGCGGGCAGGCACCAGATGTGGAAGGCTGCATGGCCGGATAGCGTGCTCTTGATGGCGTGACCTGGGGGGACAAGGGGAAGCAAGGGCAAGTGGGGGAAGGACATGTGGTAAGCAAGGGAGAGATATGTGGGAAGTGAGAGGGGATGTGAGAAGCGAAAGGAAAAGGACGTGGGTCGGGACAGTGAGGGATATTGCGGGGGGGGGTAACGAGGCAGGCAGTAGTGCAATATTCGTTTGAGAGGAAGGGAGAGCGCAAGCAAACAAGGTTCGGTTCAGGGAGGCACCATACTGATGACGCGCCTCAGCCGCTCAAAAGGAGTGAGGTGAGAGGCACGGCACAACCCAACTCTAGTCTAAGACGTACCCAAAAGGAGTGAGGTGAGAGGCACAGCACAACCCAACTCTAGTCTAAGACGTACCCAAAAGGACTGAGGTGAGAGGCACGGCACAACCCAACTCTAGTCTAAGACGTACCCAAAAGGAGTGAGGTGAGAGGCACGGCACAACCCAACTCTAGTCTAAGACGTACCCAAAAGGAGTGAGGTGAGAGGCACGGCACAACCCAACTCTAGTCTAAGACGTACCCAAAAGGACTGAGGTGAGAGGCACGGCACAACCCAACTCTAGTCTAAGACGTACCCAAAAGGAGTGAGGTGAGAGGCACGGCACAACCCAACTCTAGTCTAAGACGTACCCAAAAGGAGTGAGGTGAGAGGCACGGCACAACCCAACTCTAGTCTAAGACGTACCCAAAAGGACTGAGGTGAGAGGCACGGCACAACCCAACTCTAGTCTAAGACGTACCCAAAAGGAGTGAGGTGAGAGGCACGGCACAACCCAACTCTAGTCTAAGACGTACCCAAAAGGAGTGAGGTGAGAGGCACGGCACAACCCAACTCTAGTCTAAGACGTACCCAAAAGGACTGAGGTGAGAGGCACGGCACAACCCAACTCTAGTCTAAGACGTACCCAAAAGGAGTGAGGTGAGAGGCACGGCACAACCCAACTCTAGTCTAAGACGTACCCAAAAGGAGTGAGGTGAGAGGCACGGCACAACCCAACTCTAGTCTAAGACGTACCCAAAAGGACTGAGGTGAGAGGCACGGCACAACCCAACTCTAGTCTAAGACGTACCCAAAAGGAGTGAGGTGAGAGGCACGGCACAACCCAACTCTAGTCTAAGACGTACCCATGAGCTCGCGCATGACTTGGGTGACTCAGGTGGGAGCGAGATGCAACTCACAGACCTACCTACCCAGGAGTGAGGAACGGGAGACAGGCACCCCTAAGACGTACCCATGAGCTCGCGCATGACTTGGGTGACTCGGGTGGGGTCACCGATTAGAATGTCCGGTACACTGGGGTCCACGTGGCAGAAAACTGGCAGAGAACGCACAGGAACGCACAGGACAGGACAGGACAGGACAAGACAGGACAGGACAAGTGGGCGGGTGGTGTGGAAACACAATGATTTGAGAAACGAATAGACGAGAAGGAGCAAATGAACCGGGCTGCTCGAGAAGATCCCCCACTTTTGAATCTGTCTACCTTCTTCAAAAGTGCGGGATCTTGCGGAGCCTCAAAAGGAAAGAAATACCTCCATCCCGCCTCTCTCTCTCCTCACCAGCCCCTCTCGCCCCGACTCACATTCGAGGTGCCTGTCTTGAGCATCAGCGAACAGCGAGCGGGCGGCCGTCTCCAGGCACTGGTGAAGACTGAAGGGCACGGAGTCCAGCTCCAGCATATCCGCCTGCAGCTTGGCGAGGTCCAGAATCGTGCTCAGCAGCCCGATCACCGACGCAGCATACGTCCGCGCGTCCACCACGTCCCTCATCTGCCACTCCTCCAGCTGCGTATCCAACAACTCGTCCATCATCCCCAGCATCCCATTAAACGGCGTGCGGAGATCATGGCTCAGGCACGCTATGCTCTCGCTTTTGGCCCGCTCGGCGCGCTCCAAGAGGAGAGTGTACTCCTCCGCGGCGCTCATTTCCGCGCGGATCGCCGCGCCTTTCCGGCGGAGGACGAGAATGATTACAGAGAGGAGGGCGGAGACGAGGAGCACGAGGAGTGCGAGGAGGAGGGGCGCGTAGAGGAGAGCCCACGTGCTGCCGGGGACGAGGTGCGAGCAGTAGGCTTGGATGTGCCGGCCCACGACAGGCTCGGGGAACGGCTCGACGACGCTGTAGTTGAGGCTCGGGAAGGCGGGGTTGGGTGAGGTGAAGAGGAGGTTCGGGGGTTGCTGGGAGGAGTCGTTTGGAGCGTTCAGCGGGACGGGCTGAGCTGGTTCTGTGATGTCAAAGAGCTGGAGAGAGAATATGTCAGAATCTGGTGGGGAGATGGAAGAGGGGAAGGGGGGGAGACAGGGGATGGAGGAGGGACGGGGAGTGGTTGGGACGTTCAACGGGACGGGCTGGGCTGGTCTTGTGATGTCAAAGAGCTGGAGAGAGATGTCAGAATCTGGCGGGGAGAGGGAAGAGGGGTGGGGAGCGGGTGGAGGATTGGGGAGGGGGTGACGTTTGAGGCGCCTAAAAAAGCGCAGAATGGAGTGGAACGGGCTGAGCTGGTTCTGAGATGTCAAAGAGCTGGAGAGAGAAGAAGTCATAATCTGGTGGGATGGGGAGAGAGGGGAGGGGAGAAGGTGGGGGAGAGAGCAGGGACGAGGGCATGAGTCACCAACAGTCACGAGGGCATGAGTCACCAGAAGCCCCACATCAGGGCTGTACCCGATGAACCCCGCCACACTCGCTTCCTCCACCTCCTTGCTGCCCGCTGCTGTGCAGTGCTGCAGTCACATGCACCGCTCTGTAACGCTCTGCACCGTTCTGTAACGATCTGCACCATTCTGCACCGCTCTGTAACGCTCTGCACCGCTCTGCACCACTCTGTAACGCTCTGCACCGCTCTGCACCGCTCTGTAACGCTCTGCACCGCTCTGTAATGCTCCCGCTCTGCACCGCTTTGCATCGCAACTCACCGTTGTGCAGCACGTCTACGAGGGCGTGGGAGACAAGAAGCCCCACGTCCAGCCCACACCCGATGAAACCCGTCACACTCGCCTCCACCTCCTCCCTGCCCACTGCCGTGCAGTGCTGCAGTCACATGCACCGCTCTGCACTGTGCTCAACCGCTCTGCACCGCAACTCACCGTTGTGCAGCACGTCTATGAGGGCGTGCGAGACAAGCAACCCCACGTCCAGCCCGCACCCAATGAACCCCGCCACACTCGCCTCCACCTCCTCCCTGCTCGCCCCTTCCGCCACCGGCCTTCGGAACATCGGAAACGCGTACACTGGTGGGGGGATGGACGGGCGAATGGGAAAATGCGACGTCTCACGTCCACGACTCACCAAACAAGGCCGTCTATGTCTCATCCAATCTCATCTCATCTCATCTCATCCCATCCCATCCCATCCCATCCCATCCCATCCCATCCCATCCCATCCCATCTCATCTCATCTCATCTCATCTCATCTCATCTCATCTCATCTCATCTCAACCCCTCTCAGTATGGAGCCCCAGAGAAGGCACACAACCAACAGCCACAGCCTGTCTCATCTCAGCCCCATCTCAGCCCCATCTCAACCCCATCCCATCCCCATCTCGTCCCAATCTCCTTCCCAACCCCCTACTTACAGAATCCGAGGCGTCCGTTGGGGGCAAGGACGGCGGGGGAGCTGACGGCGCGGCCTGTGGCGATCATCTGCGCCATCTGCGCGGGGAAGGCCGCGCCAAAGTCCAGGCACGCGCGCAGCCCGAATATGGACTTGAAGGGGAAGAAGTTGATGCTGTACCACGGGCTGGGCGGGGCGAGAGAGCCGTTGGGGGACCGGAACTTGCAGTCTAATTGCTCCTCCACCCATGGCCTGGCGGGAAGCGGAGTAGGGGGAGGGCGGAGGGGAAGGGGAGTGAAGGGGAAGAAGTTGATGCTGTACCAGGGGTTGGGGGGGGCGAGAGAGCGGTTGGGGGAGCGGAACTGACAGCAAAACTGCTGCTCCACAGATGGCCTGCAGGGGGGGGGGGTGTGGGGAGGGGGAGAGGAGAAACGCGAGGGGAGGGGAAGAAGCTGATGCTGAATGCGTGCGTGCGCGCACGCACACACACGCGCACATGCACACACACGCTCAAAAGCACACACACGCGCAAAAGCACATGCACATGCACATGCACAGGTACACACACACACATGCACATGCGCACACGCACAAGCACACACACAAATGCACATGCACATACACACAGATGCACACATGCACATGCACACGCACACGCACATGCACACGCACACGCACACGCACATGCACATGCACACACGCACATGCACACAAACACACACACACACACACACACACACACACACACTCGCACATGCACACATGCACACACACACACACATGCACATGCACATGCACACACGCGCATGCACATGCACACACGCACATGCACACACACAAATGCACATGCACATGCACACACAGACATGCACACGCACATACACATGCACACACACACACACACACACACACACACACACACACACACACACGTCAACCCTAGTCGTGGGTTGACAACTCACAACGCACCAAAGCTGCGTTCTCAGAACTGAGTCGTCTCGTCCTTGCCTCTTTCCCTGCCCATGCACCCCCACACCCCTCCCCCACCTACCAACACACCCACCCTCCCGCCCGCCCGCCCACCCACCCACGTGTCCCGCACCTATCTTTATCCGCGATAACGCCGCCCCACAGCGAAGTGACCCACGGCCTGGCGAAACCGGTAACCGCACGGTGCACCTCCCACGTGACCTTATCCACGCAGCCGGAGTAGCCCCAGTACGACATGTTGCCTGGAGTCGCGCTGAACCCGTTGAATTGGTTGACCAGACCCGCCAAAATCTGATTGGTGTAACAGAAGGAGGAAGGGACAAAGGAACGGAATTTCTCAGTCTTTCGCGGAGGCTCGGCTTTTGACGGCTGCATCTTTTGCTGGATTGAATGAGCTCCCTCTACTGTCACTATCACACCTGCTCGGCGGTTTTCGTTGCAGTCACACACACCCACCTCCACTTGTTTCACATTCGAATCGAACTCCGCGTGCAGGTACCGAACGCGCTCCGCGCACCAGTTGGTGATTGCCGTCTGTCGCGGAGCCTCGGCGGCTCGCCGCGTGTACAGCCCTATCCATACGGCCAGTGCGACCCATCCTGCGACCCATGCGACAAGTGCGACCAAGCGACCGAATCGCCGCGCAGCGCGCGACGAGCGACACGGTAGATTCATCTTGCGGGTATGACTTTATCGTCGGACAGAACACGCTCGGTTCGGTCTGGAGTAAAAATGGTTCGGCGCGGAAACTAGCCTCGAAACGGGAACCGACGGCGACTAAATAGTAGGCAGGGGTGCCTGTACGATGCCGTGCGATTAGGGTAACTGCGACAAACCAGTGGTGTGCGAACGGGACGACGATGCTACTTATCCGGCGACGATTTACTGGAACTCGAGTGGGACACGAGATGTGTCAAACAGTGCGAGCACATCGAATAAACAGGGTAAATCTATTATACTCCGCCAGCAGGGCCGCGCCACGTTCGCCTGTCCCGCGCTACCGCCGCCGTCGGGACCCACTGCTTGCTTCTAATAAAGTCGTCCTACCGCCCTCCTCGTCGGCCCCGCTAGTAGTTGTACTACCTTAAACTACATTCAGGGATCCTCTTATTCTGAGCAGTCTGCTATCATAAAGTGGCCTACGCCCTACTAATACAAAATCCAAATAGCACAACGGCGTATGCCACCCTTACAGCTGCATCCATTGCCCTTGGCCCACTCTTTTCCTGTCACAGGAGAGTACGGTACTTGCGCGACGACACTCAGCTATTGGTACATGCTTTTATATATTCCTAAAATCCGCCGCGAGCGGCGAGGACTGGTAGTAGTAGTTAATACGTACGGCGGGCGAAACCTAACCAAGCTATCAATAGTAACCGCATTCCGCCAACCGCGGCAGTCCGTTACTGGATCCGATTCGCATTCACAAGAAAGCAACGAACGAAATGGCGATGCGACGACGAGTGGCATACGTCCGCAATCTTGCAGAAACACCTGCATAAGGGCAACACACCTACCTCATGAAACGCAGAGCAAAGCACACACACACACACACACACGAGGAAGCACGAATTAGGGTAACCAGCGCATGAAGACGTGTGGGATCGGGGCTGACTGATGCGTTCGTGCCATAACTCCTGTCTCGAGGGTCGGCGAGGGGAATGGCACTGTTCGTGCAAACAGCGTGCAGGAGGGAAGGAAGGAAGGAAGGACGATTGTGCAAGGCTGATGATGATGATACACCCTCATTCTCGTTAGACTGGCATATGTTATACTGACCGGGACGCTTAGTGTAGCCGCAGCGGACCAAAGAAGGTCCTATCACATGCGTTATACTGACAGTTTGACCCAGGGCGTTTCGTCAAGGTTCTATACGTTCTAGAATGGTACTGCTGTTTTCTAAACGGTTAAGACAGTTATTCAGCGTTAACGGAATTTTACGGCCCAAGTCTGGTTTCGTCGCCTCGTGCGACTTGGCCCGCAACCGAGTTATCTCACCAGCCCGCTACGTCCAAACACTGTAGCCACTGCTTCCGCCGGTGAGAAGACTGAGAATGAGGGTGTACACCCAGTTGGGAGAGCTTTCATTGCAATTGGACTTGACAGCACTGCTCTAATGATCTACTGTTTCAGGCTCTCATGGTAGTCCTTCAGGGGGGTTTTATTCGCAAAATCAGCACACACCTTGGGGCTCTTTAATACATGGGCAACAAATCCGGGATTCTTCGCGGTTCAACTCAACTCAACCCCTGCAAAATCAGCACTCACCCGGGGGCTCTTTAATTGTTCGAGATCAACAAATGCGGTGCCTGAAGTATGCTTTTGGGTCATCATGATGCTGAATCTTAGTTGTTTCTCAATCTTACGTCCCACATCAGCCTCCCATTTTGAATTCTGACGTTGGTGAGCCCATAGATCTGGGCTGTTAATTGGGAACTTTCGAGTGTCGCAACTACTGTAAAACAATTTGGGCAGGAAATATTATTCTGCAAGTCGAAGACAGAGGTGAGGAGGACTAGGAGTCCAAGAGGACCTTCTTCGACTCTGCTGGCCCTGCTTGGCGGAGAACACTCCCAATGGACTTCGCCTCTCCAGACTGAGCAGAAGGGACGTTGCTCGCGCCACACAACAGAGGTTGTCGCCACCTGCCCGTTCTGCCACACCCGTATCAAATCTACAACACCACTTTGCACCGTCACTGTTATCCTTACATTGCCTTTTGCAAACCATCCTACGCCTTTGAACGTTGTCTCACGCTGCGAAACCGTGAGACCGTTGAACGCTGGGCTTGACTGACAGCAGCACAGAAGGCCGAAAGGTCGAACTGTTCACCTCATGAATAAAGTTCTCTTTGTTGGAAAAGCCCATGCTAGCTCCAAGTGGGGACAACTGCGAGAGCAAATGCGAGTGTGAAGTGACGCGATTTCCGCACCAAGATTAACCCACAATCTATCTTGGTACAACTTCAGTTAGTCGAGCAGACCCAGAAATTTGTGCATCGAGACCGCAGTACAGTGATTCGCTTGAACTGGTGTTCTGCGTGGAGTAACGAGGTAGCACAGTGGCTGGCTTGTGGTGGTGGTTCGGCAAACTAATTACTCGTAGACAATAACGACAAGGCCGTCGTCCTCGCGGCTGTTTGTCAAACCAGGGCATCCCTAAGATTTCGAAGTCTCAACTAGCTAGAGTACGTTACCCCATATATCTCTGGCCTCTAACCGATTTGCACAATAAAAAAGCAGGGTCAGTACAGCATTCCACCCAGAGATAGCTCGACCCATTCACAACCCAGCATTTTGCGGCAATAGTTCAAGAGTGTTTGTTGCGGAACACTTGATCCAAAGATATCTTACGATGGGACTATCTCGGTCACCCAAGGAAAAAATAGAATGCCGCCCTGAAAAGGAAGCAGTGAAAATTGTGCGACATCTGTAACAAGAATCACCCGGGCAGTCCACCAACTACATCAGGCTTGGAATAATTCAATTGTAGGCGGAGAGCGAATGTGCAAGCAATTAGTTGTCAACACTATTTCTACAGCTGGCTTACTCCGTCAACGTTGGCTTACACGTTACAACTACTGTAAACAACCATAATAACTGGTTATTTTTTATCTTCACGCCTCCATAATTCCTCGAGGACAAAAGTGTAACAAATGGTTGTTAATTCCAGGGTTTTATCTTTTCAAATCCATGGTGCAGCAATTTTAGGAACAGTATGGGGAAAATTTGGCAGGTGAGTAAAGGGATTTCGGCTAAAAATTTAACATTGAAGTCCAACAAGAGGACCAACCTCTTGCCAGATGTAAGGAAATTATTCTGTTCTGACTACTTCACGTTATCACCTCTGCTTCCGCGTAGAGCAATGTTCCTGCCATTGCAGCTAAACATTGTTCCGTTACCACCTTGCAACATTCGACTCGACCACCGTTCCTGCCACCACCACTTTCGCGCTAAACCACACGGCTTGATTGATAACCCACGATCCACCCGTAAACCTTTATGGTTCCCAACCTCGGTATTAGGTCTGTAAGACACCCATTTGTTATCGCTTTATCGTTTCCTTATTATATCGCAATATAAAGCTCTAGTATACATTTGTCAGCCAGGTTCAAGGCTTTACAATGTGCCTCACGGTTTTGGGGCAGATTTTCAAATTGCTAAAAATTTTGGGCCCCTCTTTTCAAGTGTATACCGGAAGTTTAAATATGGAGGTCCAAGTTGTTCAATTTTACTAAGTTTAGCATTGGGTGGTGAGGGGACTGGGCGGGAAAATCGAGGTGTTGGGTGGGTTGAGGGCTTTGGTTTCCCCTAGCTTGTTGTCACAATCTCAGCCACTAACCACTGAGATAAAAGGGCTTGTTTGTGTAGCGGGTGAATGCGCCCATAACCCCCAAGCCAACGTACCTTGGGCGCATCTCTATGATCAATCGGGGATCTCTAGTGGACCTTTGACACCCCCCCGCACTGGGATGCCCGAGGTGCACACACCGGGATTCGAACCCGAAATCTTCGCTCTTATACCATGTCAGAATTCTAACCACTAACAACTGGGATAAAAGAGCTTGCTTGTGTAGTGGGTGAGTGCGGCCATAACCCCCCAGACCAACGTGCCTGTAACCATTCCCTAGGATCAATCCGAGATCTCAAGTGGACCTGTGACTGTCAAACTGTTATAATGTTTGTGTTGTGCAGGCTGTAATGTGGTAGCTCATAAGAGATACAACCCAATTAGGGTCAGTACTTATACCAAGTTTCTTCTCAATGCAATAGTTATCTCGTCTAGATTCTGACATGATTTCAAAGCAGGTTCTGACATGGTTCCGCACAGAGTTTCCTGACGCGACTGAGCTCCCCCGTTGGCTAAAGCTGCTTAGGCAGGGTGTGGATATCTTTGCTCTTGACTATGATGCTATCCTTGCTGCCATGTATGCCTTGACTGTTATTGCGGAGGGTGTCTGTTACATGTGTGTGCCGTCCGACCCAGGTATAGATGTTGCTGCTCTAGGTGCTAGTGAGTCTGCTCCCCGTGGTACTGCGCCTGCTGAGGCCTTGCACACCTTCACGCTTGACTCAGGTGCTTAGCGCAGTTTCTTTCACGACAGCACCACACTCACACCACTCCCTGCAACAATTGCAGTCAGACTGGCTGACCCTTTAAGGGGCCCAGTTCTTGCACGTTCCACCACTGTTCTCCCATGTTCCGGCGGTTCCGTCTAGCTCTATTGCAGGTCTTCA